TTAAGGGCACCAGGATGCTATTGGCCTCGGATGACCCAGCACCAGGCTCTGTGCTTGGCACTTGAGTATACTTTATCGGTCATTATCCTAGCACCCTGCAGATCTAGTATTAGAAGGAATACAACATACTATGATGAGTCAACAAATTTTGCAGAGAAAAGACCCATGAAAAGTCAGAGAACAGCAAGAATAGGGGGAACCACAAGGGAGGAGAGGCTGCTTGGAAAAGAGAGAATTTGGAATGCAGATCGGGGACAGGAAAAAGGAGATATGTGGCTAAGGAGAATTAATTTTTGAAACTTTCTATGAGGAGGAGGAAGTTTCAATGACAAAAGAACTGCATTTAGGGAGTGTTTTGATTTTGAATGAAATATGCCAAAACCATTGGCTGGATGAGGAGAGAGAAGAAGGATTTAGCCTTTTGGAAAGCATATCAGGTGGCAATTTATGGAGACCAGTTTGCATGTAGTAAGAGATATTAGGACAGCAAAATTACCTTTGAAATATGAACTTTGAGGGCTACAATAGCCTCTAATCTGAGTCAAGTAATGACAGGTTCTTATAATAAAAAAAAAAAAGAGTCCCTGATTTCCACATTATGTATACCTGAGCAGCTAATTTGTTCTTAATTAGTCAAACCATCTTCCCAAATGACCCCATGTTCTTATTTGTGATATCTATTTTAGGTTGCCCAGAGGCTGATAAAATTTCACAGCGCTCCTTGATTCTTTCTTCCCCTCACTTTTATGTGGTCATGTGTTGGCTCACAGCACCCAGGCAACCAGGCTTTGAAGGCTGGAGGAATGAGCCATTATGCATATTCACAGGAGATTAGTGTGTCTCATAAATAGGATGCCCACTCCTCCTGGCTACAGCCCTAGGATATTCCATTACAGTTGATGCGTTTGCCATAGGCCAGGAAAACCAGATGGTTTACCACTTGAGGCAGTCACGTTCACTCCTCATGTCCTTCAGTTGGATTGTTTTACTGTAGAAGCAGTTCTCTAGGTGCTAGTAGGGAAGCGTAGCCCTCAAATTCAAGATCGAGGGAGCAGCAAGAATAAAAATGATACAACAACTTCTCAGGGTCAGTTCTAGCAGGTTGGAGCTCTGTGTGGGACATTCCCTGTTTGACCTGACTACTCTTATATTGGCAAGTGATGCCATTGGCCAGGAGGACCCCAGAACTTCCATCTCTGCTTCCTGGAGCCAAACTCAACTATTGCCCTCTAAGCCTCTCCCCAGGCTCTGTCCTGTAGTGGAGCGGGGCTCCCACGGGAGTTTCTCTGGCTTTAGTGCCAGGAAGGCATCTGCAGTGCTGCATCTCACCCTTCTCTTCTTGCTTGTGTGTTTTTCTTTCTTTTAATTAATTAATTTATATTTTCATAGATTTTACTTTTTTAGAGCAGGTTTAGACTCATGACAAAATTGAGCAGAAAGTCTGGATAGTTTTCATATACCCATTCTCCAAACACGTGCACAGCCTCCCGTACCATCAGCGTCCTACAGCTGAGTGATATAATTGATGTACCTACACTGACACATCATTATCACCCAAAGTTTACAGTTTACATTAAAGTTCATTCTTGGTGGTATATGTTCTA